CTGTCTCAAAGAAAAAAAGCACCCGGTAGCATCCTGAGCATTCCCACTCTGTGTGGTCTGGGCCATGAGGAGAGAGGCTGTCACTCCCCCAAAGGGCACATCCCATTTCTCGGAGATGCAGAGCCCTGCTCTTGCTTCCAGAAGACATGGCCGGCCCCAGCCCCACTGCCCACCCAGATCCTGCAGTGCCCCTTTGCACAAGGCCAACCAGACCCAACATGCTTTCTTCCTTCTCCCAGCCCTGTACTAGTCCTGCCTCTCCTTGTAGCCTTGGAGTCTCTCTGCCCCTCCTGCTCTTCCTCTCTTCCCCTACACTTTTCCCCTTTCTTGGGGTCACCTGCTACATATCTTCCACAGATATCTTCTTTCAGGCTTTGAATATCATCCTTTGAATTAACCAAATGCCCTTCCTGAAGCCACTCTGCCCACAAGCACACCCTGGTTAATGGGAGGGAGCCTGGAAGCCTCCTTCTCGATCCTGGAATTGGACTCCCAGAATCAAAGCCTAGACCCCTTGGCAATCCTGGTCCCTGCTGTCCCTGAAGTGTCCTCTCTTCTAGGCACTTTTTCTGTGCAGCCCCAGTGGTCACTGTTCTGGTGTGTTGCATGGCTGAGGACCTTCAGTGAGCCATTCCCAGAGGGCCTCTAACCGTGGCCCATGGAGCTTCCATGCCCCAAGTGTCCTGGGCAGCTGACTTGGTTCTGTCCCTCTCTTAAACTTTGAAGTTGGGGTGCAGCCCTCCTCCTTGGCCCTAATTAGCCATCATCCCCCTTTCCCTGCTAATAACAAGCCCTCAAGGACACGACCATGCCTTTGTTTTATGGAACAGTAAGTGCTCCATCAGGATTGGGCATATGGATGCTGGATGGGCAGGGGATGGGTGGATGGTGGGTGGATGGGTGTGAGAATTGATGGGTGAATGATGAGGGGTGGAGAACAGACAGGCAGGGACAGATAGGTAGGTGGATGAGGGGGTGTACAGAGGAGTCACCCAGGCTGAGCACGGCCTGCTCCCTGTGTGCTGGCAGGCCCTACAGCAGGAACTAGGTCTCTATTGGAGCTCTGTGGAGGAGCTTGACCAGAGGGCCCAAACCCTTGCTGGCCCTGAAGCCCCAGAGCAGCTGGGCGTGGCACAGCAGAGGATCCAGGAGAGGCTGCGGGCACTGCAGGAGCTGGCAGCCAAACGGTGAGGGGAGCTACACCCCTCCCATCAGGGGGTACAGGGGGCCTGGCCACAGTTGACCCTCCCCACACCTTGGCCCTAACCCAGAGGGAACCTATAACCCCAGGTGCATAGAGATGCATCAGCACAGGGATGAGTTCTTGCAGTGCTGCTCACCTCTTCCCATCCAGTGAGGGCCCATTGGCAGGAACTAAACCCCAGCTGTCCCTCTCCCCACACCCACCCTCTGCTGTTCCCCCATGCTAGCTTTCCTACATCTAGGGCTCCTTGGATCCTGAGCCGCAGGCCTGGGCAAAGACCATGAATGACCCCATTCTTTAGGTCACTTGCTTTGACTCACCCAGAGACTAACTTCTAGGGAACCATGGGTTGTTATCACAGGGACCAGGAGCTGAAGGGGACCCTGAAGCTGCATGAATTCATGCGGGAGGCTGAGGACCTGCAGAGCTGGATGGTCAGCCAAAAGCAGGCAGCCAAAGGAGCAGAGAGCCTCGGGGAGGACCACGGGCACGTTCTGGTGAGGAGACGGCTGGGGGGCCTGCGGGCAGGGACTGGCCCTGGCCAAGCATGGGCCTCCTGAGTGGAGTGGGCAGATGCTGTGGCTGTGTAGTCCCACATTGCCCAGGCTGCTTACTACTTCAACTGGGAGCCACCCTGTCACCCCTTCCCCTCTTCTCAGCACCTCTACACCAAGTTTGTAAAGTTTCAGCACCAGGTGGAGATGGGCAGCCAGCGGTTGGCAAACTGCAGACAGCTAGCAGAGAGCCTGCAGGAATGTGGGCACAGTGCTGCCCCCAAGGCCCATCAGAGGCAGCAGGACCTGCAGTGAGTGTCCGGGGCCAGGCCAGGGGTGTTGGCCAGAGAAAGAAGGCTAGGCAGGCAGGCCTGGAGTGTTAAGAGAGGTCACATGCTCTGAGGGCCACATGGCTCTGCCTGCCCAGAGGGAGCTGGAAGGGGCAGGTCCTGGGAAGTTGAGCCTGTCACAGGCTGCCTACAAAGGGACATAAGGCTGGGTATACAGGTCAGGAAGCCCTGTCCAGATTCCCCAGGGGCACTTTTCCAAGCCACTGGCTCCCAGAACTCAGAGGAAGAGCTATGGGAAGAGAATGCCTAGGCAGGGCTCCAGTTTTCCCACGAGCTTCCTGAGCACCATGCTTACCCAGACAGGACTTGCCACATCACATTCCTAGTTGCCTACTCGGCTGATCTGGGTAAATCCCCAGCCTGTGAGCTTTAGGACAAGGTCATGACTTGTTCATAAAACCTAGCACAGAGTCTGGCCCAGCAGAAGCCTTGGGCACTCAGCAGGAATTTGCAGAGTCAATGAGGAAGGGAGAAAAGATGTGACCTCAACTGCTCATAATCTGGCTCAAAGTGTTTGTCATCTGGCTGACACACATGAATCCAGAGACATGTGAGACATAGGAGCATGGCAAAGCGCAGATGCCAGTGAAGTGCTGAGCTGATAGCGACTGAGGCCCAGGTTCCTGGGAAAGCCAGATCACAGGTTCCGGGGAGGAGGGTTTGCAGGCAGGGCCAAAGGCAGCAGAGGTTTTGAGAAGGAAGCTTTGGGTGAGTTCCCGTGCAACACAGAGAGGAGGAAGGGGAGGAGGGAGAGGCTGGGCCAGTGGCTGACCCACTGGTCTTTCACATGCCCGGGCAGGGCTGCCTGGTTGGAGTTGTGGGAGCTGACCCAGGCCCGGGGCTGCCTGCTCCAAGATGCTGAGACGACTCTCAGAGTTCACAGAGATCTGTTGGAAGTCCTCACCCAGGTCCAGGTGTGAGCCCAAGAGAAGAAAAGGATCCTTTCTAGAAGTAGACCCCCTCTAGGCTCAGTGCCAGCCCTCCACTCCTGATCCCCTTGGCCTTCTCCCCTTCTCAGGAGAAAGCCACAAGCCTCCCCAGTGATGTGGCCCAGGACCTGCATGGGGTGGAGGCCCAGCTGAGGAGACATGAGGTGCTGGAGCATGACCTGGCAGTCACTGAGCATCAGGTAGGTACAGCTGGCTGCTTTGCCACACAGACCTCCATTGGGCCCATCATACATGACAGAGGCTGGCCCAAGCTGGGCCTGAGTTCCTAGAGGAACTCAGAGGTGCATCTGTGGGAAGGTGAGAAGAACACATCCTTTCCCTTCCTCTTCCCTTCCCTGACCCCAGCTGCAGGAGCTGCTGGAGACTGCAGACAGGGTGCAGAAGCTAAATGGGGGGCCTCAGGCCCAGGCCGTGCAGCAGAGGCAGCAAGCTGTGATGCAGGCCTGGGCGGCCCTGCAGCAGCGCGTGGAGCAGCACAGGGCCCAGCTGGAGGGTGCGCACCTCCTGGCCCGCTTCCGTGCCGCGGTGAGGGCTCCTTCCCTTCCATGAGGTGTGTGTGAGGGTGTGTACTGTACGTGTGTCATGTGCATGCACTGATGAGACCCTCCAGTTCTGGAGGGAGAACAAGCATGGGCATGAGGTGGAAGAGGGTGAACATACCTGGATGTTAGTCTGGTGGGTCAGAGGGCTGAGCGTGTGAGTGTAACGATCACTCCTTAGGTTTGGGTCAACACCAGCCCAGGGAGTGATGGGGTAGTCACATGAGGTCTTTGGAGGGCTGGGAAGTAAGAAAGCCCCAGGAAAGCCCCTAACAGGAGACCCAGATGTACTGGACAGTGGCCTCTGGATCAACCAGTGTCTTTTTAACATCTGTGTTCAACTGTCCACTGGGAGCTGTGGGTGGAGAGAGGAGGATGACAGAGAAGTGATGGGAGGTGGAATTGCTGCCCTCACAGAGCCTGCCTACCTCAGATGTGAGCCTTAAACTCCAGAGAGTTGCATCAGGACAGTGGGCCCTGGCCCAGGACTTTCTAGGTCCCAGTGCCTGATAGACCAAGAACCCTAAACTGTGACGCTGTGAAAAGGCTGGAGCTTAGGGACCCACTTCTGCCACTAGCTAGCAGTGTGGGCTTGGGTGTGGCACTTAACCCAAGGTGGTTTCACTCTGTTTATCAAGCGCTTAGAGTTTACAAAACCTTTTACATACATCATGCCATTTACCCTTCTTCCTGTCTGCAATGAGATGTTTGGACAAGGACCGGAGGTCCCTCCAGCTCTGCCCTTGTGTGCTAGTCACAGATCAGCAGAATTCAGTGTGTAAGTGGTAGAAGGTAGTTCAGAGGACAAGGAGAGCAGTGAGATATCAGGGCACCAGGGAGGCTTCATGAGGAGCTGAGGGTCCCCATCGGCCAGCAGTATTGAGCTGGCCTTGCTGCTGCTGCTGCTCCGCTCACAGGCCTTCCCGGTGAGCATCATAGATATGGGGTGGGAGGAGGAAAAACATCTAAGCAGGACAGGCCACCAGAGCAGAGGGTGGGGACGGTCTGAGTGAAGGCCTGGCACACAAGGAGGGTACATGGACCTGGGAGCATTGGGTTGGACGAGAACAGAGAACCCAGGTGATAAAGGTCTATGTGTGCCTCACTAAGACAGCTCAGACCACTCATGTGAGTGGACTCAGGTGGGCTGTAATCGTGCCCAGGTGCTTGATTCCTTGTCACGCAGCCCAGCCCTCACCTGCTGTCTCTCCCTCTCCCCGGGGTCAGGTGCAGGACTATGCCTCCTGGGCAGCCCATGTACAACGGGAGCTGCAGGTGGAGAGCTCCCAGGACCCACACCGGGCAGAACTGGAGGCCCAGGAGGAGCTGCAGCAGCGGGCTACCCAGCTGGGCCAGCAGGCGCTTTTGGCTGCAGGAACACCTGCCAAGGAAGTAAGCCCCTTTCCTGGTGCCCTGCCCCACTGTGCCATGCAGGCCTATCCTCAGAGGCTTCCCTGGTCCATCCTGTCTCAGCTGCACTGCCCTCCCCAGCCCTGGCTCCCTACGTGTCTGCCCCTAGATCCAGGAAGGGCTGCGGGCCCTGCAGGAGCAGCGGGCCCAGGTGTTCCAGGCCTGGGCGCAGAAGCAAGAGAGGCAACGGACCAAGCAGCAGGAGGAGCGCTTCCTCAGAGAGTGCAGCCACCTGGATGAGACCCTCACAGCACAGGAGGCAGGTCCCCAGCCCCACCCCACACTCACACACACAGTCCTGCTTCTCTCCTGTTTCCCTCTCTTCACTCAGCCCCTTTCTTCCTGCGTCTCTGCTTTCTGTATGGAGGCTGTGTGTGCGCATGGATCTTCCCGGAGACCTCTCCAGCCCCTACCCCAGACTGAGCCCTGAGGGAGCTGCCGGAGGCTGGTCACGCCCCTCATGTTATTCAGTGTCACCACCCCCCAGCCTGGGCTCCCACTGCCCCTCACAGCTCCCTGGCCAAGCTCACTGCTCATGTCAGTCCTGCTGGGCTGTCCTAAGGCCCCACTTCACCCAGTGTGTCTAGGGTGCTGCCTGGCTGGAAGGCCCTGATGGCCTCTTTGACTTTTCCATGGGCTGATCCAGGTCTCCCTGAAAACCAGTGGCCTGGGGAGCTCAGTGGAGGAAGTAGAGCAGTTGATCCACAAGCATGAGGTCTTCCAGAAGGTGCTGACTGCCCAGGACAAGAAGGTAATGGGCTCTGGGAGTCCTGGGCACGGTTGGAGTGTTTGAGTCAGTCTGGAGAGTCCTGAATGGGAGGCCCAGGTGCTTGGTGTGTGCCCCGAGGCAGTGCTGCTGTGCCTGTGGGGCTGGGCCAACTGAGCAGTTGTCTGTGTGGTTCCAGAAGAGGGCCCAGCGTTCGAAGGGCCACACTGCTGGGAACTTGGGGCATTTGGCTCTGTCCACATCATGTGGTCCCTGGGGAGCAGCCTAGTCGGTCTCACTGCAGGGATTGTCTCCCATGCAGGGCTGAGGCAAGGGCTTCAGGACCCTTGAAGAAAGGGCTGGGAGCCCTATGGGCTCAGCCTCACTCAGACCCGAGGGTAGATAACAGCAGGTGGTGCCTGCCCCACAGGAGGTGGCTCTCCGTAAGCAGCTGAAGTCACTGCAGGGCCCCAGGCTGCAGAGCTCACTTCACAGCGTGCTGGAGCACCGGGCTCGAGTGAAGGACCTGGCAGAGAGCCGGCACCATGCCTTGCATACCTCCCTGCTGGTAGCCAGCTTCACCAGGGCCGCCACACAGGTCAGAGGGCACCCCCAGCCCAGCCTTCCACTTGGACCACATTTTACCGTTTTCAGATGACCTTCACACCTCAGGCCTGTGATGAGGAAACTGAGATTTGGAGAGCTGAATAGCTTTCCCAGCAGCCATGCTGGAACCAAGAACATTGCTTCCAAGCCCCTTTGTGCAGAGACCCCAGATGTTTCCTGAGCTCTAGCAGGGCCAGGGCAGAGAGAGGCGGGGAAGGAAGCAGAGCAGCCCCGGGTCCCAGGAATGGGGGGCCCACACCTCCAAAATGAACTCTACTTGAGGCCCCTACCAGCTACTTCCTGTGGATGGAAGGCCAGCCAGGCCTGAGCATGTCTTCCTGGGCTATAACCTTGGCTCTGACTCATGAGGCACTGCCAGCCCAGCCCTGAGGCCAATGGGCAGTCACCTGGGCCTGCTAGGTCTGTGGGGCGTCTCTGTGGCAGAGGCCACGTGGAACACCATGGGACTCACATCCCTCACGCCCCCACCAGGCTGAGGAATGGATCCAGGAGCGGGTCCAGCAGCTGAAAGAGCCAATCCCTTCTGGGGACCTGAGAGAGAAGTTGAAGCACCTGCTGAGACACCAGGCCTTTGAAGCCGAGGTTCAGGCCCATGAGGAGGTCGTGACCTCTGTAGCCAAGGTAATAATCAAGCTATTAGCTCCACACCTGACCCAAAGCATGGCTAAAGGGTAAGGTCTTTTTTTTTTTTCCTGAGACAGAGTCTCATTACGTTGCCCTTGGTAGAGTGCTGTGGTGTCACAGCTCACAGCAACCTCAAACTCTTGGGCTTAAGCGATTCTCTTGCCTCAGCCTCCCAAGTAGCTGGGACTACAGGCCCCTGCCACAATACCTGGCTATTTTTTGTTGCAGTTGTCATTGTTGTTTAGCTGGCCCGGGCGAGGTTTGAACCCGCCCCCTTGGTATTTGTGGCTGGTGCTGTAACCACTGTGCTACGGGTGCCGAGCCTAAAGGTAAGGTCTTAGGCAGAAAGAAGGACAGCAGACAAAATCACCTATGTCCCCTCTTTCCCCAGAAGGGTGAGGCGCTCCTGGCACAGAGCCACCCTCAGGTAGGAGAGGTCTCCCAGAGGCTACAGGAGCTGCAGAAGCACTGGGAGAAGCTGAGGCAGGCAGTGGCTCTCCGGGGCCAGGACCTTGAGGACAAGCGGAATTTCTTAGAGTTTCTGCAAAGAGTGGATCTCGCAGAGGCCTGGATCCAGGAGAAGGTAGAGGCCCAGCTGGGCAGGGGCAAATCTGGGGGCCACAGGCTGATGGGGCTGAGAGGTGGGGAGACGAGAGCCCAGGCCTGCAGCTCCCTGGCTTCCTGACAGGAGGGAGCCCCAGCAGGATATCCCAAAAGCCTCCACCTGCCCTGACAGTGTCCTGGCAATGGTGCCTGTGGGCTGGGTATGCCTGGGCCCGGGTATGCCTGGGGCCAGCACTCAGAGTGCTGCCCTCTCACCCTCGGCCTTCACAGGAGGTGGTGCTGCATATTGGTGACACGGGCCAGGACCTTGAGCACTGCCTGCAGCTCTGCAGGAGGCTCCGCGAGCTCCGAGGAGCCTCGGCAAGGGTGAGAGGGCCCTGCCCAGGAAGAGGTTGGCCTTGGCACCTCCACTGAGAAATGTAGCTCAGAGTAGGAAGGAACCACAGGCCCTAGAGCCAGGCATGGGCTGGTGTGGGCATCGCGCTTGCTACTGCACACACTGAGGCTCCCTCGTGTCACCAAGCCTTAATTCCTGTGTCTGTAGAATGGGATGATGCCTACCCCAGAGATGAGAATGTTGCATGCAGTGGGGTAATGAGATTCTGTACCTGTGATTACACTGCATAGACCCATGTGCCCTCACAGGTGCACATAGCAAAAACTGATGAAATCAGAATAAAGTCTAATCTAGTTCATAACATACCAATTTCAGTTTCCTGGTTTTAAAATTTTACTATCATTCTGTAAGATGTCACTGTGAGGGAAGCTGAGGGGAAAGGTACACAGGTCCTCTGTGTACTACTTTTGCAATTTCCTGTGCATCCATAATTATTTCAAAACTTTGAAGACAAAGTACATATTCCTGAATGTAGCAGGTAAGCAGTGCCTTCCTTCAGTGTGGCCATCTCAGCATCTCCTCCCCACACGCATGCACGCACTAAGAAGCTGGTTGTGTTATGTGGTGTAGAGGAAAGAACCTTGGGCTCAGCGCCTCTAGCTCAGTGGTTAGGGCACTGGCCACATGCACCTAGGGCTGGTGGGTTTGAACCCGGCCCTGGGCCAGCTAAAACAACTATGACAACTGCAATAATAACAACAAAAAGGTAACCAGGTGTTGTGGCAGGTGCCTGTAGTCCCAGCTACTTGGGAGGCTGAGG